GGGTTTCTAGGCTGTCATCTTTATGGGAAGGGAGGCCCAGAGGCATATGGGCCTAGGGGTTATGCGTGGGGCTGCTAACCACAAGGTGAGCAGTTCAAAACCACGAGCTTCTGCCAGAGAACGATGAGGCTTTCTACACCCTGAAGAGTGACAGTCTCGGAAACCCACGGGGCAGTTCTGCCCTGTCCTGTAGGGTCGCGGGGAGTCTTGTGCGTCAGAACCGGCTCGGTGGATGTGTGTTTGGAGGGAGACTCGTTTGGAACCCTTATGGAAAAGGAAGCACTGGGCTGCAGAGTGCAAGGCGGCAGTGGTTCAAACCCATCGGCTGCTCTGTGGGAGAAAGATGAGACTCTCTGCTCCCGTCAAGATGGTCCATCTGGGAAGCCCGATATAGAATGGCTACGAGCCGGAACTGGCCTGATAGGAGTGAGTTTGGTTTAAATTTCTTCTTTTTCGGTCACCTTTACGGGAGCAGATTCTGTGAAGCCCTTGGGGGGCTGGGTTCAAACGGCCCATCTTTCTGTTATCAAGTGAGCACTTGCACCAACAGGGCACCTTTTCCAGACTCTGGGCTCGTGACATTGCTGGTCCACAGGCCCTTTCCAGGCCACTGCAGTGCTGTGGGGACTTCCTCCCGGGCGGACCTGCTCCAATGCTACAGGTGAGCGCTGCCTCCATCCTTCCAGGCTCAGTGCTTGGCCTGGATGGATGCCTGATGGCTTCTACTGATCCTAAGAGGAGCCCTTCCAGCCAGGTAGCTAGAGGAAGGTGAAGAGCCAGCCAGGGCCTGCCTACCAGAGCTTTGCTTTAACAATATGGATTGACTGAAACTTTGGGGAGAGACCAGCGGTTAAGGCTGAGGTTCTGGTAGAGCGGCCATCAATGGCTGGCTGGGTGGCTCCTCTAAGGAATTGTCCTGATGCTTGTCTGGTCAGTTTCCTACGCTATATAATGCTCTGAAGCAGGGCTGGTCCCATCTGTCTCTTGGAGCCTCAGCCTTGGGGAGGTATGGCAGGGTTGGGGCCAGGCCCTGGGTGTCCTCAGACTCACCCACGTTGGATGTCTCCCACGATCTGCATGTGGTACTTCTTGGGCATCTTACAGCCTCCAGAGACAGCCGTCGCCACTACCACCTGCAACCCAGGGTAGAGCATGGCGATTGGCCCACAGTGGAGGCCAGCACGAGGCTCTCTCCCACATCCCCATGTCCTTTGGGAGCCCCAGTCTCACTCCCCTGCCTCCATGGGAACCACACCCTGAGAGCAGGAAGCGGAAGCGTTGCTATGGGACTTTGATCCATTCTGCTGGGGTCC